TCCTCCACCTCAGATCATCATCATCCTCATCTCTCTCTCTTTCAAGCTTTCTCCACATCCCCAGGTCCTCTCTCTCACTCGAATTAGGGTTTTGTTTGTGTGTTTTGTCTTTTTAAAGTTTGTATATATTAGGACCAGACAAACAAAGTTTGTGTTCTGTTGCACCTAATCCACTACCTTACCCTTTTTTGGTGTTGATTATATTTAGTAGCTTATTTATTCGTTTCATTGCTTTTATTTATCTTTTTAACTCTTTTGGGTTTTGTGTTTGGAACTAGTCAAATCTAATCTAAAGCAATCCCCCATAGTACAGATCTTGTTAAAAGAAATAATTAACTAAAATATCTATTTTACTTCCTACAGAATCTTTCACTAGATACTGTCTCCTCTAAAGTACAACACTAATTACCACCCTTGTTAATGAATACCAATTTCAGTCCAACGGCAAGATGAGTCACCACCGGGAGTTTCCACCGGCGACGCCACGGCGGTTCTTTCCAGTTACCCCAGCGGTCCAAAACTCGAAAACTTCCTCGGCGGTGGAGCCACAACTACAAGACCAATGCAACAAGTGCGTTCTCTAGGCGGCAGTGTCTTCTCTTCCGATCTACAGCCACCGCATCATCCTCCTTCCGCCGCCGAGATCTACGACTCTGAGCTTAAATCAATAGCTGCTAGCTTCCTTGGAAACTATTCCGGTGGACACTCATCGGCTGAAGTCTGTAGTGGATATAAGCAACAACATAACCCTCTAGTTGTCTCAGAGGTTTCTCCAACTCCAAAGAAGAACGTAGAGAGTTTCGGTCAACGTACTTCGATTTATAGAGGAGTCACAAGGTGCACGTTTAATCAATTACTTGTATACTTTAAGTAATCAGACAATATTATATATACCAATGTTTGGTACGTAAATATTTAAATATGTTCGTGTGTATGCGTAAATGCATGTTTTTATGATAATATTTAATGGAAGTTTTAATTGATTTTTCAAAACAGGCATAGATGGACTGGAAGGTACGAAGCTCATCTATGGGATAACAGTTGCCGAAGAGAAGGCCAAAGCAGAAAAGGAAGACAAGGTACTGTTTTATCTAAAATACGCTGATTTATATGCGCATGTTAGTTGAGATCCATGCGCGTTTTGTCTTAAC